AGAAGAAATTAAAGCAGTTAAAAAAGGAAACAACTTCAAAAAGCAACAATCAATTCCCATGCTAAAAGCTGCTGTTTTGGGTGAAGGGAAAGCAAAATAGATCAAGCAAACAAGGGGAGAAATCAACTAGTACAGCAATCCAAATCACTAAATTTGAAGCAAAGCAGCTGAACTCCATTAGCACATTATCCCAGAGGCCAGTTTAAGCTAAAACTGAGTAGTATTAGGAAAGTCTCACTTGGGAGAGGCAAACTTTACTATGCAGCACACAAAACAGTAGTCCTAGAAGAGTTCAAAAAGACAAACAACAGAAGAGAGTATAAATAAATCCTTAAAGAACCCCATCTTCACAAACAGAGGAAAGGGAACCAGTAATCTCACAGCCTGAGAAGGCACTATTTTGAAGAACTTCGTGGAAATGGCAAACCACCTCTGAACATCTTCTGCCTTCAAAACCCTCTGGGGTTGCCATAGGTGTGACTTGACGGCAAAAAAAAAAAGTGGAAAGCACATCAGCTAGATTTTCACTGTTATGGACAGTGTTCCCTCTAAGCTGAGTTAGTGTGAGCTAGCTCACAGTTTTTTAGCCTCCGGCTCCCACGTTTTTGTCTTCGCTCAGGAAGGATAGCTCCAGAGCAAACTAATTTGTGCAGTAGCCGGATTGCTCACCCACAACGTTAATGCCGGTAGCTCACAAAAGTAGAATTTTTGCTCACAAGACTCCACAGCTTAGAGGGAGCATTGGTTATGGAATGGAGATTTTTATGGATGTGCTTCCTCATCCAACAAAATGGTGAGCTTTCCAATTTATATATTTAGATTGTTCAATACGATTTTTCATTACTAGGAAAGAAGTTCTGAATATACTAATAAAGTAATTATACTGTAGTAAAAATGTTTTAATATACAGGTGATCTTTGGGAATCAAGGCCTTGTGAATTTTAGTAGTTTGCCATTTTTTATTCCTTACAGAGTGAACAAACAAGAATTAATTGCTGTATAACTTATACTTAGATCTGACTTGAACCTTATTTCCCTCCTGCTTCTCATCTACTCAGAGATCGGGTATGGCTCTCAAGCTCTCATGTTCTTTCCTCCCACCCCTCCTCACCACAGGGGGAAGGTAAGTGAAGACAGAATAATCCTGGGACAGAACATAAGAGACACCAATGTTGGATCAGGCCAAAGGCCCATCCAGTCCAACACTCTGTGTCACACAGTGGTCAATAATACCATGTTTCATCAGGAGGTCCACCAGTGGGGCCAGGACATTAGAAGCCCTCCCACTGTTGCCCCACCCCAAGCACCAAGAAGACAGAGCATCACCTGCCCCAGAGCGCCTATCTATACCTTGTGGCTAATAGCCACTGATGGACCTCTGCTTTTAATGGGTGTAGCCACTGATGGACCTCTGCTTTTAATGGGTGTAGGTGGGCCTTTATATTCTGCACACAAGCACAGCGCAGCACAAAAGCACAGCAACAATATATCCCCCATGGAAATAACATATATTTCAGGTTTGCATCTTGCCATTTTCTGTGCAGCTGAAATGTATCAATATGAAAAGTTAAGGTCTACTATTTATACAAGAACAAAGTCTGAGTCCAGTTGGCCCCTTTATGACCAAAAATGTTTTATTCACGGTATAACCTTTCACGTGCAAGCACACGTCATCATCAGATACAAAGTAAGCAATGTCCTAGCAGTTAAAAATTGAAATGTTACCTAGAAATGCATCCACTAAGCAACTGATCCCACGCATAGCACGAAAGAATATTTGAGGCAGATGTTTAAGGCAGGGGTACTGATTCAATTCCTGAGCCATTCCACTCACATTCAGAAACTGTTCCTGAAACTTGGGGGTAGAGCTTATAACCGCTGGATTACTCAAATCCACAGGATTACTACAAAAAAAACACATTCAATTGTAATGTACTTGACAGATGCTAAAATATATTTAATTTGTTTTAAACCTCCAATTAAAGAAACAAAAAATACAATCAGATCTGGAGAAGGAAGCAATTTTGCAAATAAAAATGTCAAATAATCTTAGCGTGAAGTTTACAACTTTAGCTAGTAGATAGTTGCATGGCTACTTTACTGTAATTGCTATTTGTTATAGCATTATGTTTCTCTTTCAAAAATTTTCAGCTTCCACAAAAGTTTCTCAAAAGCTGACAGCATCTCATTACAAGGAGCAGTGGTCAGCTGCCATTTGGCCAAAAAAGACTCCAAAGCATGGTGAAAATTAAAAGGGTGTTCACCATGGGGCACGTGAAGTTTCTATGCACTTAATTAAGACAGTACTGAGAGACAATATTTAGCAGCAGAAAGGTAATAAGGTGTAGATGAATTATTAGACTGCAGCTAGGTTTCTGCAGGAAATGCAGTTAAGGAGTATAAACAGCTACAAAATAATTTCCTTGACCCCCTACTCATGAAACACTGAGAATCAGAACCCAAGATCTTGTTCTGGGCACAACTGAGGAACAAGATAACGGTAAAGGTAAAGGTTTCCCTTGCTCAAAAACTAGTTGAATCCAGCTCTAGTGGGCAGTGCTCATTTTTGTTTCCAAGCCGAAGAGCCATCGCTGTCCGAAGACATTTCCGTGGTCATGTGGCCAGCATGACTAAATGCCGAGGCGCACGGAACACTGTTACTTTCCCACTGAAGCGGTACCTATTTATCTACTTGCATTTTCTTGCTTTTGAACTGCTTGGTTGGCAGGAGCTGGGGCCAGAGACGGGAGCGCACTCCATCACACGGCACTAGGGTCTCGAACTGCCGGACTACAGACCTTCTGGTCTGCAGCTTAGTGTCTTAACCTCTGAGCCACCAATTAATAACATTTCTATTTACATGGAGGTAAGACATATCTAGGGGATCCCACCGTGTTACAGTCAACGGGATTTTCGCTATGACATCCATGGAGCAACTTTTGAGTTCAAGCTATAACTTCAACTACAAGGACAAATCTTACTCCAACAACCTGTAGCCTTAGAAGACTCATATATAACAAATGTGGATAAATATGCTGGTAATAATATTGTAAGCCCTTTCTCATGTACAGTACCTCAGCATATGTAAAAAGCGGAACCAAGTCTGGGCAACACACTCATTATCCATTTCTGGAGGAATCAGACTGGCATCTTCGTCAGGAATTTTAAAAGGTGGAAATGAAGGTCCATATGTAAAACGCAGCAATCTAGAGGACAAATGAGACCATCATTGAGATTATAGTTCTTCTTGTTACCTAATTAGATGTGATGCATCAATATTCCATTGGAGATATTTCCTCAACAAAGCCTTTAAAATACTGCCGCCACCTGTTTAAAGATCCTATTTCTCCTTCATTAGCGTCCCCCTCACAATAAGTTTCAGAATACTCTTGGTCTATCAGTTGTCGCAAATTGCTGGTAAAAAGAGGAGTTTGTTAAGACAAGGAACTAATAGATTATACAGCAATGCAAGGAAAGAAATGTTCTGAAACACATACATACAATTAATCAACCACAAAGATACTAAAGTATGTCCTATAGGTTTTTAAGTGGTCTTAAAATGTAACCCTATATTTCTTCACCAAATTGCCTGGTGATGCAGAAGAGGCCTTGAGGCAGAGGCACTGCCTGATGGCTGCAGTTAAATGGCAGAGACTGAACAAGTTGAAACTGAACCCTGACAAGACAGAGGAAATGCTGGCTGGGAAGACTAAGGCCCTGAAGGACACTGGGCTTGCCACATTGAATAGGGTTCAGCTAACCCTTGCTGGCTCTGATAAGAGCCATGGGATTATTCTGGACCCAACACTATTGCTGGAGAAGCAAGTTAATTCAATGGTAAAAAATGCTTTCTGCCATCTTCATTTAGCCTAGAAGATGGTTCCCTAGCATGACTCAACTGATCTGAATCCATGCCATGACAAGCTTGAGATGAGACTGTTGTAATGCACTTTATGTGGGTCGGCCCTTGAAGTCAACTCAGAAACTCCAGTTGGTACAGAATGGCTCAATTACGGATGACAGCTAGGCAAAGTATGCACATTACACCCATTTTGCAGTCTCTATGCACATTATACCCATTTTGGCTCCCTGTTAGATACCCAGTCTCAAGACATCCATAAGTCAAATGCGTAACTGAGCAGTAATGGAAATGCCTACTTAACCATACAGAAGCCAAGGCACAACACGGCATACTTCCTTCCACGAAATCACATGTACTTGAAAATGATGCAGTTGCATATAATTAAGATACTACAGCAGATCAACCCTATGGGCTCCTAGCTACCTACTACCTTCTTATATATGTGGGTAGCCTGAAATAAATTCTTTTCAAACAAATGGAAGTACTGAATTAACATTAACGTTTCCACATACAAAAAAGATAGCTTAGATACAACAGATGTAACATCCAAGTTTACGTAGAAGGAATGTTTTGTGCAAACAGAAGAGTGCTTGCTACCTACTGCATATACGAGTGCAAGCAGCATCTATACACAAGACAAATATGGTCTGAGCTTCAGTAAAAAGACCTCAGATCTGATCTTACAAACAAAACAGTAAGAACATTCTTCTCCCGCTCATCTCACCCAGGCAGGCATTAGCCTGACACAACTTCCTTTAGAGCGAGACCTGAAATGTGGCTATGTTCTCAGAGTACCTCTCAGTCCGCCCTCCCCAGTTCACTCCACAGGCCAGAGATGAAGCCTCTCTCTCCCTGGCAAACTTGTATCTGGGCTGTGCCGCTTCAGGTAGTATTTAGGGCTGCCAACGGGCTCGGAAACGTCAAAGCTTTTCATGGCAAAAGGTACATCACATCATCTGGTAAATAACACTGCTTTAGACATCTGCAGAAGGGGCAGGATTTTTTTTCATTCCTCCTGACGGTTGGCAGCCGTAATGGCATTTCACGATGAAATGCACCCACATACCAAAAAACAAAATCCCTCCATACGGAAAACTAGGCATCAAGGAAGAAGTGTTCTGGCCAGCCCAATGTTTAGTGAACAGAAGTCCATTTTATGAAACATAAGGCTGTGGCACGAGCTTCTAAACCATGCTACCTGAAAACACAAAATTCGATTGCTGGGATTTTTCATCTCACATCCTAAGCTTACACCATCAAACTGAACTATGGAAAAAAGACAAAGCTTCACCTACCTAGCTGTCAGGGCACAGATTATTTTGCTCCACTGCTCCACCACTGCAGAATGATACCGCCAGTTTGCTACCATCTCTTTGGCAGTTTTCCAGTAAGGTGGTGTGGGAAAGCACCGGTTACAGGCCAGCAACCAGACTTCAAACAGCACACCCATCAACCTTTCAGCCAGATTCTCAGCAATTCCACCTATAATTGGAGCAAAAAAGGAAGTTTCATCTCTCTCTCTCTCTGACCTAGTGCATATCTTTATACCACCATTTTTGGAAATCCCTGTTAATCTATCAAGATATTTTAAGTATGTCCACACTACGCTTTGTTATGAAGCATATTCAGCTGTAAAAATACAAATTTTGGACTGCTGCAAATTGACACACTTGTGGTTTGTTATCATCACATGTACTGTACCAGTCAAATACCACTTAAGTAGCAACTTAATATGTGACTAGAGCATTACGTAGCCCTCCATGATCTGGAAAATTGCTTGGAAATATGTGGTACAAGAAGGGATGTATGCAATTCTGGATACCAACAAGAAGGCCTGGTTGTGTAAAAGAAAAAGCGGAAGGCACAAATGAAGAAGTGTAGCATGAGGTGGTCCACAATTCTGTATTTATGAACCAAAACAGAAATTGTTCTGTACAACACTGCCAAAACACTTTTAAAAATTCTCTCAAAAACCACTTAGGTATAGAAGCTTGAAACAAAATCCAAGATACTCATTCAGTGGCTTGAAAGCCACACAGCTCTTCTCACACTGCCCCATGTTTCAGCCAAATGGCCAAGGCCTTTGCCCAGTGGGGCTCCTGGCTGACATGCCGTTCCCACCTTGAAACAGCTGCTGCCAAAGGCACAGATAAGCTGCCAGCCTCCATGAGGTCCAGGCCTGATGTCCATGTGGCTCTCTTGGTTGATGTTAATTAGAAATATGGCTCTTTGCAGAGTGAGTGCGACTACCCTGAAGTTCTGCATAAGCTATTAGTTTCATGGAAGCAATTAGAATCATATAAGTTTCTATATTGTTACCAGAGATGGGGGGGAAAATTTTGAGTGTTTTATTTTTGGAAGCCAGCATAGTATAGTGATTACAGTGCCAGACTGAAATCTGTGAGACCCAGGTTCAAACCTCCAGTACTTTGGGTGTGCTAATGTTAGTGACAACAATTTTAGTGCCTTCAGTTTTTCTTTCCTTACATTTAAACAATGAAAGGAAAAATACACTATACTGTCTTAACATTTTTACAAGTGTTATAACAAGAATTTCTAAACGAAGCAATGAATATGTTTAAATACAACATTTAAGCTACACTTAATTGTTTCCTGATCAAATATTTCACCTGGGGAATTTGCTGCTAGTGGACAAAAGATTAACCTGGGGTACTGTTAATTTTTTAACTAAACAGAAATCAGAATGAACATTGAATCAGATCAGGCTCTATTTAAGGCTCTATAAATTTTTCAGATTCAAATCCTTCGAGGAAACCCACATCACTCCTTGTTACCTCTGT